CTATAAAATGTCAAGAACTAACTCAAAATAGTGGGTGAATAACATGAAAAATCATGTGTAAAAATGAACCGAACAGTCTCCATTAAGGAAGGCATGCTAACGGATCCCATCAATGGGAAGTGGCTCAAGCCCTACCACTGCTAAGTTCATTTCATGCCCAACACTTTTATTTATTGGATTTCCCTTTGTTTTAAATATGGACTCCTTCTATGTTCTCACTTGGTGTTTTGAAAAACTCTTGTATGATGCACCACTATGGTAGCATGAACTTTGCAATGAAAATGGAGGAGTATTTTGAAAAAGAAAATCTGTCACTTCCTTTATGTATCACCAAATTCACCTTGCACCAAATATTATATATATATCTACGTATATAAAATAATGAAGAAAATATATATATATATATATATACACACCACTTAGCAGTAAAACATGCCAAGCGAAGCCACCCGGATGGGGTCCCAAATCATCAACAAGCATCATGCCTAAGCAAAATGATATAAGCCAAGCTATTACAAAAAAAGGGGCATGCAGCTCCTGAGGTGCTGGAACAATGGAACCATTATGCCCCCCTCGATAAGCAATTCAAAACATCTGGGAATTTTGGGGAAAACTAGGCACACTAATCTGGTCCTCTCGAGGCGTGATAAGAAGGTGTTTTTTCAAGCTTAATAGTTAGGCAAGCCATGCGAAGAAAATTTAGGAATTCTGCTCCTACCAAAATTTTGGCAGCATATACTTTGTTTCTGAGGATATCCAACCTGTCAGAAACTCTCAAAAAAAAAGGGGGGTGCATCTTGGGCCACATGATTAAGGCAAAGCCTCGCAAAGAGATCCTAAAGGCAATACAGCAGATTTTTGTTTAGAGTTCCTTTGGAAATTTTGGCAGCATCTACTTTGTTTTTTTAAAGATATCCAACCTGTCGAAAGATCTCCAGGAATTCACAAGAGCAAGTTTTCCAAATGAGCAATAGATATATATGAGATTACAATATCCCTCAAGCATTCAGAAATTGACATAAGTTCCAGCAGTTCAAAGTTACATTGCAAAGCTATAACGACATAGTCGTTAGATTATCCAAAAGATACACAGCCATAACAAAAACAAAGTGATACATGCTGAAGGTTGATATGTCCTATGGTCATGAGGAACTGCACATCAAGCCAAGTGGCTCCAAGTCAAAAAGGGTAACCTGCAACAAAAAAAAAAAAAGAGAAGGCATGCGTCAAGGCTAGGTGATGCTGGAAGGCGTAGTGCGACAGAGAAATAAAAAAAAGAAGAAGATTGCATGCCTTAAAGCTATGAGGAATGCCCGAAGAGAACGGAGGAAGCCTTGAGAGACGACCTGGCCGCTGCCTCAGCCACGCATTCCGCACTATCAACCGAGACACCCTTAGCAAGAAGCAAGGCCTGGAATTCATGGTGCTTGTCTTCTAATTCGCGCTGCTTTAGGTTCAGCGCGTCGGCTGCAGCCTTTGTCTCGTCAGAACCCGGCAGCGATATCATACTATCAATAGCCCGTGCTCCAAATACAGCACGTGCTAAGTTCCTCACTAGATTGAGAAGAAGGTCCGCAGGGAACCCTAAAGTCATGGCCTCACAGATCGCATCTCGCCAGCAAAGGAGTCGGTGATCCGTAATGTCCAAAAGCTCCATAGTGTCCATCCCATGAAGTACCAAACCCAAAGCCCGGAAGGCAGCGCTCCTGGAAAAGAATGAAGTGATACCCGTGACCTCTGCAAAGCATCCATACTTGTCCATAAATTTCCTCAAGGCTCCAATTGTTTCTGGGTACACGAAGGCACCTAGGAAGATTGCATACCCATTAAACCTGTAACAAAGAGGAAGGAGTTCGTCAATGGACCGGAGAACCTTGACGCCACCATCAAAGAAAGCTTTGAACGCCATGAAGGAAGTCTCCCAATCTTGCCAAGACATGCTTTTTTCCGATAAGCACTCTACAGCAGGAACTTTTGTGGAAGCGCTACCAATTGGGTGGCCCACCTCAAGGACGCCACCAAGAATTGACGCTGCTGGAAGGTCTGAAGTGGTGCCGGCAGCTATGTCAAGGAGGGCTGAAGCAAGAGTCGATGTCGCTGGAAGGTCTGGAATGGTGTCGGCAGCTATGTCAACAAGGACTGAAGCAGGAACTGGTGTTGCTAGAAGGTCTGGAGTGGTGCCAGCAGCTATGTCGGCAGGGATTGAAGCATGAATTGATGCTGCTGGAATGTCTGGAGTGGTGCCAGCAGCTATGTCGGCAGGGATTGAAGCATGAATTGATGCTGCTGGAATGTCTGGAGTGGTGCCAGCAGCTATGTCGAGGAGGGTCGAAGTAGGAATCGTTGCTGCTGGAAGAGGCGGAGTAACAATGGCAGCAGCGTCAATCGGAGGAGTAAAGGGTACGCCTTCCAAGCCATGGGGAGTGCCCTCAACCTGAAAAAAGAAAGAAAAGCAAGTCTAAGTGATGAGTAACCTAAGAAGAGGCTAAGCCGAGACATAGAAAATGCAGAACAAGGAATGGGTACCTCGTCGGCAGTCTGTGTAGCGCCAGCAGCATGAGGACTAGGGTCAAGCCCTGAACAAGGATATGTCGTGTCCACAGCAGTAAGGACCACCTGCGAAAAAAAAAATGATAATGTATATGTGACAGGGTATGAATTGTGAGTTGAAGCAGGCAACACGCAGCATGTATATGCAAATGCAACGAAAAAAAAAAAAGATTTCCAATACCAGTTCAGGATTCATGCATCGGGGCTGATGGCAAGTCTGGGAGGCATATCTGAGGTGCCCCGCTCCTCTAAGTGAACATCAGCATCCGGGTAGGTGCCCTCGTCACGGCAGTAATACTGGTCCTTGTCGAGGTCCTCGTCCGTGCCATTCATGCTGTGAGTGCTCCCTTGCTCGTGGATGCTAACCCCAGTTCCCACAGCATCGCCTTCGTTGCTACCATCATCATCATCATCATCATCAGCTACCACTACTACATCAGATCCTGAGTCTGCGCCCTTGCCCCGGCGAGTGCCAGCAAATCATGTTTGGAGTATACGCATGCTCCGGCGTCTCGGAACCATGGGGGCTTTCTCGCCTTTGTCTCGGACTTGGGAAGTACCTGCAAAACAAAAGGAAGAAAGCAAGCCCAGAACCAGCAATAAGAAGAAAAAAGAGAGAACATATATATATATATATATATATGAAAAGAACACTCAGATACGAGTAATTAGTGAGTGGCACTTACTGCGAGAAGGCGCGGCTTCCGGCATCTTGTCGATTTGCTTGCTGCTGACAGAGGTCGCAGGTTGCTGCTGTAACAAGGGCACTGTGGGAGCATTCTTTTTAGAGCTGGGAGGACCGCTTGCCGCTACCTTTGGAATGAATTTTTTCGGACTTTTTGCAGCATGCCTCTTCTTCTCAACACTAGGACTTTCCTCTGGCTTCCGCTTCCCATGCGCGGTACTTTTTCCGGCACTACGAGAGCCGGGCTTCTCTAACTTCTGTTTTAGCTTGGAGAAATCACCAACGATTTCCCCACTTCTGGAGGTAAAGGGCAGATTTCGTTTTTCACTCAAAGAAATCGCCTTCTCTTCGGATACTAGACGAGCATGGTAGATCACAGTGGGAAGCAACCTGTCACAATGAGCGGCATGGAACCGGCTGAATGAAGTAAAGCAGCGATTCCAGTAGCTCTGGTAAGCTTTAGAGAGGCCACCAAAGTGCCCTTTGTCGGCCAAAGCAAGGGCAAAGAGGCTGCCATCATCCGGCACGTTGCCCTCAGTCCAAAAAACCTTGTGCAATGAAAAAGGATCCCCATGACTAGGATCGGAAGGCACACCTTGATCAAACCCAAGCTGCCGTCTGACTCGGTGAGCTCCATAATACATAGAAGCCTCCAAATGGTCGTCACCTACTGTCGGCAAAGGAAAACGTGCAGCACTCAGCAGCGTAGCCGACGACCCCGTGTTGTAGTTGCTGGAACCTCAAGCAAATCATCAGAGTCAGCATAAAGAGGCACATGTCTAAACCCCTCCGACAAGGCACAATAAGGGCGGAAGATGAAGCTCTCAACATTATCCAGCAGCTCTAAGAAATTTTGGCCCTTCCTTTGCATGCGTCGGAACCATCGGCACATTAAAGGAAGTTTCTCCGGCACATACGCACCACCATCAGAATCAGCAGATTCCTTGAACTTGGAATAAGGAAGCGGAGATACTTCTATCCCTTTGAACCGTTCCCATAGAAATACTTGGAGGAAGCTAGAGTTCAATAAAGTTTCCACGGCCATGGTTCCGGCTGCCCCCTTCTCAAGAAACTGAACCTGATCAAGCAAACGATATAAGTGCCCCAAGAACATGGGGGCTAGTGGAATCATATCACCACGTGCTACCGCCAAGGCCAGAGGGAACACTCGCGCGTGCAGACAATCTTGGGAAAAATCACAAAAGAAGAATCTGTCTAGCCATAATGATAAAAACGCTGCAAGGCGGCATGGCTCGTTCCTGTTAACATCCCCAAAGAACTGTATCCAGTTACTGAAACGCAGAGAGGTGCTAGGAGAAGTCGGAGCACCCTTTCGTAAAGCCTCAAGCTTCAGTTTGTCTTCCGGAGTTAGGGTGATATGGAAAGGGTCTTGGCTGCCGCAAAGTGGGAGGTGAAGAATATTAGCTACGTCCTCGAGTGTGGGAGTAAACTCTCCCCATGAACAGACAAAGGTGTGTGTCTCGGTGCTCCATCGCCTCACTACATGTCGGAGCATTTTGGCCTCAACGTGGACGTCCCATGCTTTAGAAAGAAAGACAGCGTCCAGCACCCATGCACGGCTCAAGACGTCACGGGTAGATGGGTCCCTTAGTTCTCGATCTACCCATTCTGACCAGCCCTTGCTGGTGCCACATGGATACTGAAAAAATAGAGGGACTGCCGGAAATAGACCCCTCTCGATATAGCACCTCGATATGGAAGCAGGATCAATTACAGGAGCTACTTCTGGGGCTGGTTCTCCATCTATGACTATGTCTTCACCAGCACCTTTGAGTAAGGGAGGGGGCCTACCCCTTTTTAGCTTGTCTTCTAAAGAATAGAGATGATCCCTAATGATGGAGGAAGAATCAGCGGACGTCATGACAAAGCTGGGATTCCTGCACGAAAAAGAAGGGGAAAATAAAAAATTTAGCACATGCTAAACACGCGCCAAGCACGGCAGGTTGAGTTTGTCCAAGCAAACATGCAAATTAAAATTCAAGTTCATGGCAAGCAAAAGTAGCGCTTTTGTGATCAACACGTGTGACAAGTAAAGCCTCTCTCAAAAGGAAACAAGCATCGCAAGACATGCCTTCTGTCGATTTCCAGCAGCAACAAAAAAAAACACATACACCATCAAACATACATGTGTTCACAAGGAAAGTGAACCTAGGCCAAGCATCAGTCTATACTTACTTCTGAAGGACTCAAATTGGCAGAATTACTCACCGAGAGACTGATATGGGAGGCTAAGTGCCTAAGTTGGGGAGCCAAGGCACTCAGAGATTCCAGCAGCGAAGAATGCAAGGCAAGGTTTCCAGCACCTGTCCCTGTGTCAGAGACGTAGCCACCTGCACCAAAAGGAAAAGGGAACACATCGTTCGAATTTCAGACATCCCATAAGCGCAAAAGAAGTCAATGCAAGATAGGGAAGATAGAAAAGGAAAGAAGAAATGAAAAAGAAGAAGAAGGAACACACCGATGAGATTCGGTGCCCTTCCAGCAGCTCGAGAAAAGGGCAAACCAGGGAGAAGAGAATCTCAGAAGATTGGAAGGAACCCTTCCTTGCTAGTACTTGCGTCGTGTGAACCCTTGTTACGGCGGCAACGAAATGGGTCAACAAGGGTTTGGTGATTGGCTGCTCAAAACAAGAAGCAATCTTCAAGGGTGTAAGGAACCGATGGATTTTTCAATAAATCCAAGGGAAAAACAAGGGAAAGACATACCTTTCTAATCTCT